TTGCAATATTCTTTTGGAGTACAAAGCAGGAAGGCAGGAGCAGGCATTGGGCATCTTGGCAAAAATTATGTCTACCTAAGGATGAGGGTAGATTAGGGTTTGGATCTCTTCATGATGTTTCTAGATCTTTGTTTGCTGAGATTTGGTGGAGATTCAGAACAACCAAATCACTATGGTCTAACTTCATGTGGAACAAGTACTGCAAGAAAGAGAATCATACGTGCAGTTTAGGGCAGGTCTCATGTGTGGAAGCAGATGCTGAATGCAAGGGAAGATGTAGAGCATGTGATACTGTGGGAAATGAAAAGTGGTACAACAAATGTAAGGCATGAAAATTGGACAGGCTTAGGGGTACTATACCACTTGGTTCCACCTGAGTTTCGTATCAATGAGGAACTGGAATGAGAAGATGATTGACAGACTTTTCCTGAAGATATAGCTGAACATATTATACAAAAGGTTAAGTTTGAAGGCAACTTTGATTACTGGGTAAACCTTTGTGGAAACCTACTGCTTCAGGTAAGTTTACAGTGAGTAGTCCTTGGCACATACTGAGATATGGAGCCCTGACCTGATCTCATGACTACTCGACCGAGGTTAGGCTTGGCACTTACTGGATATCATTGTGGTGTACTCATGCCCTTTCCTGCACATGTTTTCCATGTGCAAATCTAGGTACTAGCTATCAGCCTCAAGTTTAGCTGTGTGGTTGCTGCCTTAGGAGACTTCAAGGTATAACTGCATGTCCGCAAACCTCAGAGTCCCCTTTTATCCCCTTGTGTTACCGAGTGGCACCGTTTCCGCTTATTAATTATATCTATTAGCTGTTCTCTTTGTGTTTACATTTCATTAACGCAATATTAGGCTTACCTAGTCATTGAGACTAGGTGTCATCACTATATTCCACGGAGGGAGAAATTGGGTTATGACAAGTAGGTATCAGAGCTCTAGGTTCATAGGAGTCATGAGTCACAAGTTGATTTATTAGTGTCTCGTGGATCGGTACTGTAACGAACCGATCGGTCATTTGAGCATATGCACTTTGCTCGGTTGTTTGAGCACATGAGTAGCTCCGTGTGATGTATTATGACTTATGTGAATCGTCGGTTTTGGTTTTTCAGGTTATTCGGAATTGATTTAGAAGAACGATTCTCAGCTAGAAGCTTCAAATTTGAAAGAGTTAACCAAGTTTGACTTCTTAGTATTTGACCCTAGATTAAATTTTTGATGGTTTCATTAGCTCTGTTGGGTGATTTTGGAGTTAGGAGCGTGTTCGGATTGTGATTTGGAGGTCCGTATTGGAATTTGGCTTGAAATGGCGAAAGTTGGAATTTTTGAAAGTTTGACCGGGAGTGCACTTTTTGATATCGGGGTTGGATTCTGATTTCGGAAGTTGAAATAGGTATGTAATGTCAAATGTGACTTGTGTGCAAAATTTAAGGTCAATCGGGGGTGATTTGATAGGTTTTGGCATCGGTTGTGGAAGTTGAAGCTTCAAAGTTCAATGATTTCGAATTGAGGTGTGATTCACCGTTTCATTATTGTTATGTGTGTTTTGAGGCCTCGAATAGGTCCGTGTTATTATACGGGACTTGTTGGTATATTTGGTCGGGGTCCTGAGTGGCTCGGGTGAGTTTTAGATGAGGTTCGGATCATTTTCATTTCATGTTGCATTGCTCAAGATTTCTAGTTCTGGTATGACCACACATGCGGCTGGTTTGCGTAGGTGCGATGGCGGCGATGCTAGCCAAGAGTTGCAGATTTGAGTTTTCATTGGGGAGTGAAGGTCCATAGGTACGGAGGTATTTGCGTAGAATCGCGCCCGCAAATGCGATCATGACCATCGCAGAAGCGGCATGTCTCGCAAATGTGAGCCCTTTCCATAAAAGTGAAGGTCGCAGATGTGGCCACTTATCCGCAGATGCGAAAGTGCTGGGCAAAGTTATAAAAAATAGAGGGTTTCGTTCTTTCTTAATATTTTAAGATGTGGGACTCGGATTGAGGCATTTTTTGAAGAAAATTTCATCACAAGGGTTGGGGTAAGTGTTCTCTGCTCAGTTTTGATTATATTTCATGAATCCATCTTCATTTTTAGCAATTGATTGATGAATTGAAACAGAAAATTGGGGGTTTTGGACTAAAGTTTCATGATATGAATTTTTGAGTTTTGAACACCGATTTGGTGTCGGATTTGAGTGAAACTAGTACAGTTGGACTAGTAATTGAATGGATTGTCGGATTTTGTGAGTTTTGTCGAGTTTTGAGGCATGGGCCCGGGTGTGATTTTTGGTTGGATTTTGGGATTTGATGTAGAATTCGATCTTTATAATTTGTAATTGCTTCCTTAGGCTTTATTTGATGTATTTGAGTTGCTTTTGGCTAGTTTTCAGCCGTTTGGAGGTCGCTACGCGCGTGAGTGACATCCTTGGAGCATCGCTTGGCTTGCTTTGCATTAGAATTGGCTTGTTTAAGATAAGTAACTCTTCTAAAATTAGTGCTGAGGGAATGAAACCCAAATTACATGCAATGTTATTGATGATGAGGTGACGCACATGCTAGGTGATGGGCATGTGGGCGTGCACCTTGTGAATGGTGGCTTTGTTGCCTTCATGGCAATGTATGGTGGCCCTTCTTTGATGATATATGTGTTTTCATCATGTGATTAATTAATTGAGTTATCAATCGTGCTAGATATCATGTTTAGGCTTTATGCTGATATTGGCAGGACCCATAGTGGTCGTTTCTTGTGTCACCTAACTAATTTCATTAATATTTCATACTCAGTCATATTCATGCATTCAAATCATATCTTAGTCTCAATCGTTATTTTTTGATACATTATATCATTGTTGTCGGGCTAGTTTTATGACATTGAGAGCCGGAGAGACTGGAGAGATTAATGACTAAGTGAAATCGAGGGCGTGATTGTGAGGATATTTATGGGATCGGGCTACATGCCGCAATATGTTTTGTTGATTTATGCCATGATTGACTTGTTATAGAGCTTGGGCTGAAGGAGCCCCTCCGGAGTCTGTATACACCACCAGTGAGCGCAGGTACCTACTGAGTGCGAGTGCCGAGTGATTGGGAGGATTGAGTGACTGTGAAGACTGAGTGGCTGTAAGGACTAAGTGATTGTGAGGACTGAGTGATTGGGAAGACTGAGTGAATTGATACTCTAAGAATATGCATATGGTTTTATTGCTGAGTCGCATCGCATTTGACATGCACATGATATACAAGCATAGAGATGTATTTTCCTCATGTTGTACGGTATCACGTCATTTATGACTTTTTACACACATTGATATGTGGTTAAAGAGAGGTATTTCAGATATGCTATCTGGAAAGAAAATGGAACATCATATTTACTGTAGAAATGATTTTTGGAGAAAAGTTACAGTTTTCAAACTTATTCATATTTTTTGCAATTTGGGTAAAGGATTTGGGCTTTTATTGGTATACTTGAAAAGCAAAACTATTTTTGGAAAGACTATGAAAAGGCTGAGCACTTTATCTCTGAGCTATTTCTTTATTTATTTTCTTTACACTATTATGAACTGCTATTGGTTATTGATGTTGGACCGGACCTATGTTCCAACTCGTCACTGCTTTCAAACCTAAGTTTAGGTTTGTTACTTATTGAGTACATGGGGTCAGTTGTACTCATACTACACTTCCTGCACATTGCATGCAAATTTTGGATGTCGATATTGCTGTGTTCAACGAAAGCTGGATTGGAAGATGTACTTGCTTCCAGATTATAGCTACCTCTTGTTCATGGTAGCCTTAGATTATATAACTCCTTTTATGTACTTTTCAAACAGAAGATGTATTTATTTCCTATTAGTTTTGAAACCTCTAGTCTTAGAAGCTCATGATTTTTACTACCAGTCCTTGGGAAATGTATAAGATTTAGATAATTCCTTTGTTTAGTTGTTTTATTAAGTTAAATGGAAATGGTTAATTGTAAATTGGCTTACCTAGCGGGTTGGGTTAGGTGCCATCACGACTTGTGGATTTTGGGTCGTGACAGATTGGTATCAGAGCTCTAGGTTCATAGGTTCTACAAGTCATGAGCAAGTGTCTAATAGAGTCTTGCGGATCGGTATGACGACGTCCATACCTATCTACGAGAGGTTACAGGGCATTTAGGATATACTTCCTATCTTTCTTTCATTATCGTGTAATATTGATTCAGCTTGAAGCGTGAACCTTTGAATTCCTTCCACGCATTCGTATGCACACTTGAGTGCTCGGTATCAACTGTGCATCGACGGCTTGTGATTCCCTGGATGGAGTGCGAGATGTGATTTCTGTGTGTTGATGATGGAACAGTCTGGAGGACTTGAGGCCGGGTTTTGACTGTATCTTGAGCATTGAGGTATTGATTGTGTGAGCACATGCTTTTGGATTTATATGTCCGGTAGTGTCCCTATTAATGAAATTTGTGGCTGGATGGCTACGTGATGAGTAAGATGTACCACTACAACAAAAAAATCTTTTAGCGGCAATTAATATGTTCTTTAGCGGTAATAACAATTGCCGCAAATAAATTTACCGGCAATTAATCATTAGCCGGCGAATCCAGCATCGCTAAAGAGCAAATGCTGGTAAAGATCCCCTTTATTGCCGCAATATCCAAATTACCGGTAATTAATATTATTTACCGGTAATTAATATGGCCAGTAAAACTCTCCAGAATATCCAAATTCACACATTTTATGGCTTTAGTTATTACCGGTAAACATCATTCAATTGCCGATAGAGACCGTACAAAAGAACCCTTTTAGCGGCGAATGCAACAGTCACTGAAACTATCTGCCAATTGGTCTTTATCCATATACTACTTCTGTTATTTTCTATAAAGATCCATCTTATTGTCAAAAGGGTTTATTTTTTCATGATTTTTTATTGCATGTTATATATATTTAAATTCAAGTATAATAATAATAATAATAATATAATAAGATTCATTCAAAAGAGCTTAATGCACTATATTAAATCCTAAGCAAAATAACTATTAATTCATAATTTCATAGTGCCAACTACATAACCAAAAAAGTAAACTGTTTGAATCTAATAGCTAGTACCATTTGGTCTAATAACTGATATTATCAAATAGCTATAATACAATACAACAAATACATATTAAATTTTCTCTAACTCTTGATCATGATGAAGCCTTCCACACGAAAAATGTCTGAAGATCCACTTAATCTCTGGCTAAACGTTCGAGTAATAGTTGTTTGCCTTCCCAAGACCATATAATATCTCGCAACTAGTCTCCAAAGATATATGCCTTGCATATATCAGTACCTTTACAGGAAATAAATCAAAGCATGAAATTAGTATTTCTTTTGGTGTGGTAGTAAGCCATGAATGGTGTGATATTGCACAAGTAATTTAAAACCAATGATCATCAAATAGCCTCGAGCACTTATGAAATTAAGCAACAAAGTATGCACCGAAGATTTTGGTAGGTGTCAAAGCATTAGGTTGATCATTAACTTGTCTGTTTCACCTGTAGGCTTTTAAGACATCACGATTGGGGAAAAAATAGAATCTCTTGTAGGCTTCTAGTTGTACTATACAAGCCATCTATTTCGTATTTCGTATTTCATATCGTGTATTTCATATTTCGTATCTCTTATATATTGTTGTTATTTTTATTACGCATTTTTATGGTACTAATATATCATCTCCTATTGCTTTTTTGAGCCGAGGGTCTCCTGGAAACAGCCTCTCTACCCTTCGGGGTAGGGGTAAGGTCTGCGTACATATTACCCTCCCCAGACCCCACTTGTGGGATTATACTGGGTCGTTGTCGTTGTCGTTGTTAAGAGCAGAAGGTTGATTTTTCAGGATCTCAACAATCTTTCAATATTTCAAAAAATATATCTATGTAGAAATAAACTAACAACTGCACTATCTAAGAACCAAAACTAGAAATAGAGCAACAATACTTTTAAGTTAATTTTCACAAGACTAGATATCTAAACTAATAAAATCACATGCTCGGACTGCCACTCTACTGCAACTATGTGAAATGGCAAAAATCCTAACTGTATCTGGACCAAGCTAACAATCTCATGAAATTAGTTATTCCTATCTAATTATCAATAAGATAGATTCCGGATAATAGAATATTAAGAAAAGAGAGAGGAGATTGCCATATTAGACGCTCACCAATACAAACAAGTTCTACTATTTTTTCTAGAACAATTAAATAGTTACACAAACGAGAGGAGAGGACTGAAAATAACGAGTTAAGAACCAAATATTTCTTTTATTATACCATGGACGGATAGGAAGCTGTAGAGCGGAGATTAGCAACATATATTCAAATACAAAAAAGAAAAGAAATCTTTACTTTGAAATGACAGTAGTAGTCCTTGTGTTGCTCGTTCATCGTCACTATTTGCATAAGGGATCAATTATATTTTCTTGACATGGATCATCAGGGACCTATTATAAATATCAACAGATTAGGAAACAATTGGACCAAGTAAATATCTTTAGCATATTATAATATAGAAACCTACCTTCAATAAGAGACTTAAGAAAAATCTCCACCAAACTCAACAGAAATAAAAATTGCAGTTGCTACTAGCAGAAAATAAATATAAAACGGAATGATATTATAATACTGCAGTTCTTCATCATATTATTCATTGACCATATTGCCAAATCAGGTTCTCATATTACGTTCTCCATGAGAAAGCGCTTTATAAGTTGCAAGAACTCATAGAAGTCATTTCAAAGTAGTGCTATTATGAAATAGAAAGAATATATATTCTTTTCTTTAGAAGTGGAACATCGAGGGAAAATGATAGTTTGAGAATAGAAATTCTCATATTAGGAGCTAATTTTCATTCAGGTTTCTTTACGACTAGCACTGCATCTAAACTTCAGAAAAGTAAAGAAGGAAAAATGAAAATGATTTGTCTATGACAATAATCAAGCTAGATATTATGAGCCAGTTTTTCTCCATCAAACATTTTAATGATATTGGTATAACACTAATAAAGAGGAGAAGAAGAAGTATCCTAACTGCAGTGCAGCACCATGGATCCTATTGAAAGATCTTAAGTATCAACTAACACTAGAAGTATCCTATTGAAAGATCAACTAATTCATGCTCAGTAGCAGAAACCTATCTAATAACTGCAGTGCAGCACCATGGATGGAAAACAAACTTTTTAAATTTCCAAGTTCACATGATAACCTAGTACAACAAGATTAGTATTCAACTTTTGCACTGAACATCAAATAGCTTCCCTAGTATCTTGTAATAGTTTCCACATCTACCTATGCAAGAATGGAAACAGGACGACATATATCTGATTAGAACAAAATTCTCACCATCTTCAATCCTCACTCTATTGAGAGCTACATTAGACAATTAGAAAAAAGTACATGCCAATTGGAAGTACCCCTTGAAGAAAAAAGTATATGACAATTAGAACAAAGTACCCCTTTGAAGAATGTGAACTTAACCTAAAAATAGAATCACAAATGGCGTATTCAAGAAGTGATTTTGACATCAAAATGTACCAAAATCACATTTAACACAAAATAAATTTGTTGTCTAAGGTTGTCAGAAGTGGAAGTCTAACTTACTTTGCCATTATTTTTTAAGTTAATGCGTCAAAGTGTTAAAAAAGGCAATCAACTTCCTAGGACATTTAATGGACAACAGGTTGCCTCATAAAAACTACTTTAGGTAATACATTCAAATTAGAAAATTTTACTTAAATCTTTGCCACATCACATCACCTCAACAATAAGTAAAAGTATGACGCTTTTTTTAACTTTCATCTTCTTTATCCCCCAACATGAAGCATTCATATGAAACTACACTATATCCCCTTGTTCGAAAAGAGTAATTTAAACAAATAGTTCATCAAAAGAGCAAATTGAAATCTGTAGTCTAAGTCACATGGCTAGAGTAAATATTGCATAAGAACTCAATACTAGTTGTCATGTCTCATATTTATTTTGTCTTATAAACATCAAATAATATGAAGAATGTCGTTAATCTGCCATAATGTCTATATCTTAGCATAGTTGTATAGCACCAACATGATTTCAAGATATTTCTACTTCACAATAAACCCTTTAAATTTCAAAATTTTACAAACCATTGCACATAGGGATTCCAGACCGATTTCGAAAGTAGGTCCCTCCAATCTATTCCTCTCAGATGCGTGAAAATTAATCATTACCTGGAATGAAACTTCATCAAGTAACCAGCAAAAGTTTCTTTCCAGAAACCTGAAAATCAAGTTGTTCCTACTCAAAAACTCATGAATTTATATGGAGTAGGTTACTAGAAATATTAGTTTATCCTCCTTTATTTTATCTAACTTAGCAACAATAAGAAAATTTAGAACGATTCATAGTAACTACATAGCTATAGTTCTTTGTTTCTACTAACATACTGAAGCTTTCTATCTTAATACTTCCTTTAGGTACTGTTTGTCAAGATTTTTTTTTCTTTTTAGATCTATTGTATTTCGAGATTAAATTTCATTCTCCTAACAAAAAATGCAACAACCAAAAGAACATGACTATAAAATCAAATAAAAATAAATTTTCCACAAAATCAATAACATTTCACAAAGTACCTGATGCCGAAAAGTGTTGACAATTGCAATTTATTAAGATACATAAAATAAAAAAAATATTATAAGGGAGCATAACCTGCACTTGGCTTCCTCAATTACAGAAAAAGGGCGTTTTCGCGCTTCGAATCCCACTGATATAGCAAGCAACTACTTTGCATCAGTAACCGAAACTGTTGACATGTAGATGTAGCAAGAACAAAGCATCAAATATTCTGATGTTTCTTTATTATTTAATAGGAAAAATAAAGGATCTCTGTCGAATAGTATTTTTAGGAAGATGATGAAATTGATGATGAATAAGCGGGTAATAATTGAGTAGGAATTAGAATTTTGGGCGTTAGGGTTTCATTGGATTTTGAATACTATGAAAAGGGCATGAAAGAATGAATACTACTTATGAATGTTAAGGAGGGAAATGAAAAATAATTTTGAGGGAGGGCAAAAAAAGTCCCGCTCTATACAAGGCATAAGCTTTTAGTGGCCATTTTTTTTAATTGCCGAGAAAAAAAATGGTTAATCTTGGCAATTATTCAATTGCCGCTAATATTGGTCTTTATGGAATTAATTACTGGCAATTGATTTATTGTCGCTAAATAATTGCCGCCATATGCCTTTTTTGTAGTAGTGTGTGACTGCGAGATGTGTTCATATAAGTTGAATGTGACGCGAAGGATTTGCTTGAGGTGTAGAAAGAACTATTTGGTACTTGATTTCCATCCTGATTTGACGTATAGTCTCGAGTTATGGGTGTTGAAGGACCTTTCATGTTATTTAGTTGAGGAGTGAAGTAGATTTTCATGTCGTGATATGAGCTCAGGCTCAGGAAGATTAAGTGATTGTGTAATGGTTATGATTGTGGAAGGGTATAAGAGATGTTGGTTTGAGGCGAAGCAGGTGGGTTATCTCCTGCGGGGTGTCATGAAGGTTGTGTGATCCCTATGTTATTTTGTAGCGAGTCCTCTTTTACCAGTAAATTATATGTATTGCAATTTGAGTTTGGATCACTTATGAGAGTTGGCTTGACTGTTACAAGGATGAATGCGAGATTTGCAGATGATTTGAGATATTAGATGGTTTGTGATGCATGAGCTTATGGAGGATTTAGTTGAATCTCATTATGGTATTAGGGCAGTAATAGAGTATGGGCATTGTTAGATATTGTGTATTTTGATCTATGGCTTTAAAGCCAAATGAGGAAGTCTGATATTGATAAGTTGATTGCACGGTTATGTGTTGTATTGGTTTCAGTTTGAGGTATACTGGTGAACTAGTTATGGCTTACAGAGATTGGGATCGAGGATGAATCGAGTAAGGAAATTTTGGATACGGATCGTATTACACTCTATGAGTATATGGAAATCATGGAAAGATTGAGTAGTTATTCGTGAAGGATGTAGAGTTCAAGGAGTAAAAATTTGCTTGGTTTCTTAGAGGTATGAATTACTTCTTAGGGTGTTGGTGTGCAAATGGGGCACGGGTCGTGCGGTCCGTTTGGGCGGTGCTATTGAGATTTGAGTAGAGTTGATGACTCTCGAGAATGGTTCTAATTGTTACGCCCTGCAGTATTACGTCGATATTATGCCCCGCAGTATTATATTACGATGATATCACTCCCTGCAGTATTATATTACGATGATGTTACACCTTGCAGTATTATATTACGATGATGTTATGCCCTGCAGTATTACAATACGATGATGTTACGCTTCGCATTATTAAATTACAACGATGTTGCACCCTGTAGTATTGTAGGTTAAATTTGTCGTAAAGTAATTGATATCAGTCCAAGGAAAATTTTTTTTTGGAGATTATAAGGATTACGCTATTTCAAACAAGTGATGAGTAAATTTGTGAAAATGAGAGGGTAAGCAAATCGAAGGAAATGAATTCCGTCGAAATTTGGCATTTGGGATCTAATATGGCCCAAGCTAAAATACCCGTTATTTATGGACTAGTATCATACAAGGTATCTCATGGCCATGATAGTAAGATGTATAAAGTGTATTAAAGGTGAGTATCATTTTATGTATTTGAGATAATTCTTAATTATGTGGATAATTGGTTAATTATTGGACTAGTGAAGGATTAATGAAGTGATTAAGGAATTAAGTGAATGACTTTGGATAAGTCTTGTGACCACTTACATGGCAACCCCCCCTCCATCCCTTGTATGATTCTCAAGTAATTTAAATAGGTGGCAAGACTAAATTGTAGGAACTGGAAAAGTCTTACAAAGTGAGTCATATATCACTTTGGAAAAAGAGAAACATTATATGTCTTAAAGACATAAGAATCATATCTCCATATTTGAATTTACATAAGATTCCAAGAGACAGAAACATTATACGCCTTAAAGACATAAGAATCATATCTCCATTTTTGAATTTACATGAGATTCCAAGGATCTAACACTTATAATACACAAGAAATATGAATTAACTTTTAGCAAAGTGACAGAGTTTGGGCCAATTTTTATACAAAGTTACATTGTGTAATCGTAACGGGATTTTGTGATTCTAAGAGAGCACGGTACAACCTTTCCCAACAATATCATACGATTTTTTTCCTACTTCAGGTATGTTAAGGCTATCCTTTCTTTCTTTTGTTATGATCCATACGACACAAACAAAACGTGCAAATGCACAATTTCCATACATGACTCTATTCATAGAAATATTAGAGATGCTTATGTTCTTGATTCCCCATGTGTCATATTATTCTATCATCTTTTCATGGGTCTCAGAAAATATGTAAGTTGATAAAGTTTACTTCATGGTATTATTCAAAGGTAAAAAGGTCTTATGACACTCCAAAAGATTTTATTGATGTACTTCTCATGCATTGCATTCATGTACATTGACCCATGACCAGATGGCGTTATATACGCGTATATATGTATATGGGATATGGGAAAAGTTTACGGCATTATATATGTACCACCACCTGATCAACTGGTATACGTTGATGATTTGCCCACAGTGTCCAAGATGATATGATGGGATGCCCTCAGAGGCTGATGATGTTATGAAACATGTACATATGACCAACATGACATTCATACGCATATGCATGACACAATAAGTATTTCATGATTTACAAAGTTTTCCAAACTTACAGGTTGAGTCATTTACTCCATATTTCTTCCATGTCTGTTATGTACTTATTTATGTGCCTTATATACTTGGTACAATATTCGTACTGATGTCCCTTTTGTATGAGGAAGCTGCGTTTCATGCCTGCAGGTCACGATAGACAGGTCGAGAGCCCTCCAAGTAGGCTATCAGCTCAGCGGAAGATGTTGGTGCGCTCCATTTGCTTCAGAGTTGCTTGTTTGGTCAGTATGGTTTAGACGTGTATTGTTGGGTATGGCGGAACTATGTCCTGAACTTTATGAAAATTATGTATTCTTAGAGGCTTGTAGACAAATGTCATATATGTAAAAGATTGTATGGCTTTGTCGGCCTATGTTCAGTATACGAGTGGTTATTTTGGTATTATAGGCCCGTATGTCTTATGTATTAGCTGGTTTCACATGTTGTATTCTACTTATCTCAAGGCAGCCTTACGGCTCAGTTATCTATGATAGCATGACATAAAAGATATATTATGTTGGTACTCGGTTGAGTAAGGTACCGGGTGCCCGTTGCGGCCCATCGGTTTGGGTCCTGACAAAAGTGGTATCAGAGTAGTTCTGTCCTAGGGAATATACAAGCCGTGTCTAGTAGAGTCTTTTTTATGGGTGTGTCGTGCACCACACTTATAAGTAGGAGGCTACAGGGCATTTAGTACTATCACTCTTTCTTCTTACTCTAGATCGTGTGGTAGAACTCAGTTGTAATTCCTAAACTCTATTTTTTTCATAATACGACAATGCCTACATCCAAAAAGACGGTTGGTAAAAGACATGGCTATGGAAGAGTCGAGTCAGAGGAACTCGATTTGGCATCATGCTTACTGAGGTCTTCAGCAGATCATGTGCGTACTGAAAGGTGTAAGCCTCGTGATAAGGAGTCTTGAGGCAAGAATACCTGTCCACTTTATGGTGAAAGTCAATGAGAGAATTAAAAGATAAATACAAGTTTCAAGAAGTAAAAGAAGCAAGATGAAGAAGGGTACGAGATACCCAGTTAATAAAGATTATCATTATTTACCATTTAGGAAGAGAGATATAAGCATTTTGAGTTACCTTCAACAGTGACAGATGTATGTACAATCAGCCACACCGATCTCAGTTATGTCCTATGAAAGCTAACAGACATAGTTTAAGAGAAGGACGAGTTATCAGGATCCGGCTGGGGATAGAGTAATCCAAAATAGTGGATGGATTGGTAGAGTTAGTTGACATTTCTGAAGGATAGTGCAAACGTGATAATGGATCTCCTTGTGAGACACCTCAATTGTGCACCCTAAAATAGTACAACTAGATATGAGTATTACAAAGATGAGCACTGGAAGCCTAGAAGGGATAAATATTACCTTAGTGTGGCTCCCATCCCCGGTAGAAAGAGAATGTTAGGCAATTCGCAGAGCCAATGGATGGAGCAAGAGGGGCTATAAGCGAAAGAATGTCTTGTTCGAGTTTTTGGAATAAAGTTATAGGCATAAATGTTAGCGGGAAAATAAGAAGAGAGTTAATGAAACAGTATGAATAAAATGTGGTACATGGATGACAGTGGTAGATCAAAAAGATGACAATATTAAAGAGTCCATACTCAAGAAGAAAAACACGAGAGGTGACAGGCCTTGAGGCCACAAAAGAGTAAAGGCCATACACTCATACCCTCATTTCGAGAAATATTTTTGTGACTCTAACGTGATTACTAGAAGAAAAAGTTAGACCCAGAATAATAGAAATCAATATGGGCTGGTGAACAAGATAAACTAAAGGTGATTAAGGACTGAGTGATTGGATAATAGTTATCATCATGAGAATTTCATATTATGTTCCGGCGATAATACAATGGACAACAGAAGAAGATTCATGAGAAATTCAGAGAATGGTCATTCAGGAAGACACTCCCTAAAGCAAGCAATGTGAGCAAAGTTAAGCCTAAGGGACTCCATGTGCCAGTTACACTATGTTTCACCCGTACAAGTAAGGAAATTTTCTATCCTTGGTAAATAAGGATTTTACAAGGCGAGTAAGGATCATCGATGATGTGAAAAGGTGCCAAAGATAAAGAGGTAAAACATCTATACATAGATTAATCATAGCACTAAATCTTAGTACTCTCCTAAAGGGGGGAATATGGAGTGACGTGGCACTAATTCAGAATTAAGTGGTTCTAGTAATTATGGAATGATAAAGGAAGAATGCAATCAAAATGAGAAAGGGATGAGATTGCACTTATCTAAATCCTACTGATATGCTACGATTCGAGAACATTATGCAAGCACGATGTTAAGGAAAGGAAGTAAGGGTTCTTACCTAGGATGT